CACGTTATCGTGAACTGTCGTCAACTTTTTCCTAATTATATTAATTCAATATCAATGTTACGCAACACTGTAAATTAAATGTTACAGATTGTAATGATCTCGGTTGAGAATAGAACTTGCTTCAGTTGTGCAAGAAAGTTCGGATGTTTCGTAACATATAGAAATGCTTATTAATTTATAAAAACAAGCGAAATATTTGTATGAAAAGAGTCTTGTTTTTGTAACTAGGCTTCCATTGTCATCGTGTCACTCGAACAGGAAAAATAGCGTTTAAAAATTCGTCTTTCGTCGCACGCTTAAGCAGTCGATTTGAAAGCTCAGAAAATTTATCCCTCACTCGTACAGAAATATGTCTACGACGATTATCGCTGCAGACCCATTGGCAATATCACACAAATTCGTTCCACCTAATTTATTGTCCGTTTACGCTTATGATTTAAGTATCATTTGGACATAGATGTCTCGCAAATAAACTAAGCAAGTTTAACAATTCGGTTTCCTTTCAACTCGGTTAGAGAAATCGTCAATACGTCGTTTATGCTATGTATGTATATGTATTTACAGAAATCTTTTCAGCTTATGCCAGAATTGAAAGAAAAAGGGGGACTTTGTTACAAATGAAACCACAAATATGATTCCATAATTGTAATAATTAGATTTTTATGCATTTTAGTGGATAGAATTGTTATTGAATATTTTATAAAGTTTTGCATATTAAACTTCTGAACCTTCAGATTTTCCATAAATGCATAAAAATCCGCAGTCTAACAATAGCAATATTAATATCAACGACAATAAAATTCGAAACTCAAATTTCTGTTAAATTAATTCAATCACGACAGATTTGTTACAATTGTGGGATCTTCGTCGCAGTTTGATGGCGATTCTCATTTTCATAGAATTCAGTTTTAGTTAAGGGTAGGAACAGTTTGCACCTTGAACTCATTACTCTCGACTTTACATACACAGATCGTTTAGTTTAGCTGCGTCAGATGGAATCACAACCATAATTATTTCGGTGTTTGTCATACAATAAAATTGACATCTTTGCTCTTGAACGCTTCACTGGACTCGCTGGACTCCGTTTTTTTTTTTTTTTTTTTTAATTAATTGACAGCTTCGCAACGATTTTCCCTAGGGAATTATAATTCGGTAAGTAGATACCTTGTTAACAAATTGTTTCCATGGTTTCTTGGATTTATATATATTCAGTAAAACTACCGCCAAGGCTCCGTCTCGTCGAACATCCTCTCTATGTTGTCACGAAGCATCTTTTCTTGTTCTGTAATATTTGAATATTTTACTCGAGGTTGCAAGTAAATATATTAGTACTATGCAAACGATTAGTAAAAATATTTCACATTGCGGTTGTCAAATAATTTTGGCGTCCAATTTTATACCTGTAAAATATTCGCGATAACACAGTATACAGATATGTGCATAATTATATTTAGTACTATTAATATTTCAAAGCATGGTAATTTTGAAACGATAATCAGACAACGTACAAATTTCACGCACTTAAGAGGTAATTCAAGAATATCTTTGAATATAAAAAAAAATATTCAAAAATGAACTTACCCTTCGTTAGATTTGCAATTACACATTGCTTCCTGAGGAATTCTAGGCACAGAGTACGTGACAGGCCAAAGGCGTGCATGTTACACGTGAACGTTCTGAAAAAAAAAAAAAAAAAAAGAAAAAAGTCATTTTCGAAACAATTCGACGCACAGAATCATCGAACGTTCTGTTAAATATATATTTACCCTAATTGTCCAAAAACGATATTAGCTTGGAATTTTCGATCCTCAGCAGCGATTGCCTCTTGATCCAGAGACTTAGGCCTCGGAGGGACTGGCCTCGATGCTCTTTCACACTGAACCGCGTCGAAGAAAGCCGCTGTCCAAAATCTCATCGACGTCCAGATCGGTTGCACTCGTAAGTGTGTGTACAAATATTCACGATACGGTTCCAGTCCTGGTACTTCAACTAAATACGAATACGAGGCAAGAAAAAGATATGAAGACAATTAATAAAACAGATATAAGAAACTTAAATATTATCCTGGGAATTGAGAAGAACATACAAAAGATTGTTTTCATTTTCTATATTTTCTTATAATATCTCTACAACATCGAGCACTTTTAGGCTCGATATAAATTGAATTTTCGTCTTCCTAATGATGTACACGAGCGAATTCGTTTGTAACAATTTCGCGCTTGCTCGCCACGAAGAAACATTGATACGTGCGCATACTGCATATTTAAACACATACACGTTGCGTATTAATACATTATATATATGTATGAAGATAACGCACACGATTGTCACATATCTGGTAACAAGCGTCACTTTGTCGTCACGTATGTACTATTCTCTAGTCGATAACGCTGTATACTTGTTAAAAGTCGTCTATATCGAGCCTTATGTGCAGCACGTGTGTTATTTATATTTAATAGAAAAAATTCTACGAAAGTTAGATTTAGATACCTTCGTGGTAAAAAGTGAAGCACATGTTCATGAGACTTTTGGCAGGCGCGAAATCATCTGCCTCGTGACATTCGAAAAGGGCTACCGCAAAATGTTGCGCCAGGGAATAAAACGATGCTTCTGTCACACAGGGATGAGCTCTTCTTGCGTTCACCACTCTGGAGAACCATATCCTGCCGGATTCTGTCTGCGTAAAATCAAATCAACGCATTACCCTTCTCTCTTTAATTATCACCGCACGCGAAATTCGATACGGCTTAATATAGTGATCACATCGTTGCGATTTAATTCTAATTTTAATAGTGAAATTCGTGATTTAATTTCAAGATTGAAATTGAAAATTCGAGCTAATGAATAGAAAATGTAATGGAAAGCACAGTGAGGATGAATTAATTTTTTCTAGCTCTTTCTGGACTTTAATTTGTATTCTATCTTTGTAAACTACAAACTATAAATGACGATAAATTAACTGTTGTCTCGACATGGAGGAAGAGAGGGATATGTATGTATACACAGACAATTTTGATTACGTACAAGGACCATTTGACCAAAACTTGCTTTCTGCTCCTGATCGATACTATTCGGAGCGTAATAAAAAGCACAGTGAGGATGAATTAATTTTTTCTAGCTCTTTCTGGACTTTAATT